TTGTATCATTTTAATTTTTAGATGAATTTTCATATTTTGGATGTCAAGATGCTGAAATTATGATGGTTCTAACTTCAATGAATTTTTGCGATCAAACCAATGATAATTTTTTTTTTTAATGTAGATAACATCACCAACCATCAATAAGATATTTTGTACTAAATACCATCATTTGTATAGTAAAAGTTAAAGAATAATGACTATTAATATGTTAACTTGTTAATTATTATTTTTAAAAATTTCTTGTGACACTTGCATTTGTCAAAATTAACTAAATTTTATATAGGTGCTCTTCTTGATGTGTTGTTCCTTCATAAAAAATTTAGATTTTTATTACGAAATTTCTTTTAAAAAAATCTTAGGTGGTGGCTGGTCACCAATTCTTGTACTATATTATTGTTGTAGAAAAGTTCATTGAGGTGTTGGGCAACTGAATTCTCTATTTTTTTTAATGTAGTTAGAAAGAGAATTCATTATATGATTTTTTCTTAAATTTTATGTATTTATCACAAGCTTTTATCTTTTTTTTCCCTTTAATTTGCTTTAATCTGATTTGAATATAAGTATCTATTTTAGCTATCATCATCTATGTAACATGATTCTCACCTGAATATTGCATAGAGTTTTAGGCTTCATTTGGGACAACTTTCTTATTGCTTTCTAAAGCAATTTTTTTGTATAAAAAATTTTAGTTCAAAAAAAAAATTATACTAAAAATTGATTTAAAAAACAGTAAGAAAGTTGTCTCAAATGAAGCCTCAGATGACAGAGAACGATTGAAGATTGATGTTAGTATAAAAGAAGTAATGTTGTCGAATTGATCTAGCAATTTTTTTTTGTGTATTATAGGAGATTTTATTTGTGGTCATTTAAAGAAGATTTATTTAGTGTATCATTAGATTGGAGCTAGTATCTAGGGATTATCTTCTAATCAAGCATCTAAAGGCTCCTTTCTAGGAGAAATTATTACGTGTGGAGTCCGGGCGGTAAAGAACTGTCTGGATGTGAGTCTACACAATGTTTGTACACACTGTGTATAAAAAAAATCAAATTATGTACAAAATTATATCCAGTGTACACACTGTGTACACTCACATCCTGACGGTTCTTAATTTATCGTCCGGACTCCGTATGGAATAATTTCTCCCTTCTTAGACATTGAATATGATATTGAAAGCTAGCCGACCAAGATGATCTCTATTGAAGATTATACAAACTTATTATAGATGCAATTATAGATGCAATATATCTATTTATACTCTCTTCCTATGCATATATGAAATAAGAGTCTTCCTTTAGTTTAGCCCATGGATGTATGCTTCTTTCTTTTACTTTCCTAGCTTCACATGTTGATACATATGCTTTATTGATGTTTATAATTGAGAGTGATAATTAATAATCTCCTGACACAAGTGTGTAAGTAACCAAAAATTTTGAGATATTGTCTCCCTTTAGAAATTAAGCTCTTTAGGCATCTTTCAAAAGCAATTAAAATATTTAAATCTTGCTAAATATTTAATTTAATGTAAGTGAATCTTTGATTAGCAAATAAAGAAATTGATCCTCAATTGGAACATACTGTCCTTGAATGTTTTTCTGATAAAGGCATCATTAGCTCTATGCGCTTTTAATGGCTCCTAAATATTGGATGCCATCATTTACTTAGGCTTCGTTTGTGATAGCTTTGTTGTTGCTTTCTAAAACAACTTTTTAGTACAAAAATTTCTAGTTGAAAAATTTTTTGTACTAGAAAAATACTTTAGAAAGCTATCCCAAATGAAACCTTAGAGATAAATTGAGCCCTTATATCTTTTAAGGCTTATGACTTTTGTGATTTTTAGATAAGTATAAGTTATGTACATTTTGATGCTTATATTTTTTGAGGATTTTTTATGAGTGAAAATCATATCAATTATTTGCTCTTATTGAAACTTTCTAGTGAAGAATCTATGCAAACTAGCTTCCCATTGAAGCTTCCTTATCAATTTGCCTTAAAGGGGTTTAGAGTAGAGACCCCACATACCCTTACCCTATTAGAAACTCTTTTAAAGTAAGTTACTTTATAAGGTTTATATCTTCAAAGATTTTCTAGAGTAGAAATAATATATAATATCATTTATAATTATATAATATTATTAATATTTAATAATAGTTTATGCAAAAATACCCAAGTAATTTATTAATGATGGTACTTAGAAGAACTTACTTTTAAAAGGCAGTTCATGAGTTACTTCTAAATGATAGAGAATATATTATAGTTAGATATAATTTCTTCTAAAATTTTAATGAGGTAAGTGGCTTAATTTATTACTTTAAACATGTACATTATTTAGTAGAATAGCCATGACCACCATAGAAGTCATGGTATAAAGAACAACTATCCTTCTCTTGGGTTAGTAAGAAATAACATGAGTGGGCTAATAATTAATTTTCTCTTCTATCTTTGAGAGGCCTTCAAATAAAAAACTTGTTCCTTTTTTAAGGAATATATATAATAGCCATGACATTAAATAGTAGGGGCTAATAGAATAATACTTTAGAGATTGAACTATATCTACTCCTATGAACTAGGTTAAAATAGTTAATTTTATATATGGTTCGTACCAGGTGATCTAAAGGATAATTATGCCAAAAAAAATTATATTGTATCTTCTAAAACTATGTATGTCATGAGGATAAGATTGGAGATTAGCATGAATTTATCTTAGATTTATGAAGGTAGTTGGAGATAGAATATTTATTAAATTAGCCTTGTCAATAACAAATTATAGTGTTGATGGTAGATATCCTAATTCTAGTTAACATGATTAAATTTTGATGTGAATAATATATTCCTTTAAATTCATAGTTATACAAAATAATTTATGTATTCTTGAGTGATTTTAATATGTATAAGGATATATAGGCTATGCTGGTATTCTTATAATATGATTTACTAATTATGACGACTTCATTTCCATGAACTTGTGACTTACTTTATCATGAGATTGACAATCTATAGTCTATTCTTATAAATAGTGACCCAAGTGTCATTACGAAAATCAAATGATTAATTAAACTCATCCTTAAAAAAAAAATTGAATTACCTCTTGAATGATAAAAATGATAATATTATGACTTGTCTTTATTGTTTAGGTTTTTAGTCGCTTCAACTACCTAAGTTTTTAAGCATTTTAGATATTCATTAGAATGTTAACCCTAGACATGTTCGATGAAATGTAGTTAGGTGGCTCATGCTATTGTCAAGATTATTGAGCTTGGTGAGAATGACATCTCTAATCTTATGATTGCTCATGCTTTATTTATAGAAGAGTCATCTTATATGAGTTATTATGTTTTACTATATAGATATTTGAATTACTTTTAATTGCATTAATAGCCTCAATATAGGAGCATGCTATCTTTTACAGTAATAAGGAATAGAAATGCATAGTGCAATGACCTCTAAAAAAATACCTTGTTGTAGCTCATGATTTACTCTTGCAATTGACATGCCTTTCAAAGAAATCTTTGGAATCATATAAAAAGATGTGGTGAGTTTTTAATAATCCTTTGATTTATAATAAACTATTAAACTGTTTGATAAAAAGCTTAGTGAGACCAATGAATGTATAAATAATCCTACTATAGAGAAAGTAAGCCAAGTTTAGTCTTGACTTTGAGGGTGGCAAAAAAGACTTAATAGAGCAGAATATCAAAATCCTGTTGAATATGTATGATAGTTCTATAGTGATCAATGTGGCAATAAGTACCAAATTACCTATTATAAGTATCAAATAACAAGCAACTTGAACCCTACCAAAATGAGATTATGAAGAATTGCATTATTAGATGTGAAATCTAAAAAAAAGTATAGCTATGAATAAGTTGATTTCTACCCCTCATAGAGAAATTATTTTGAACAATATTTTGAAGTTCATCTCACATGACATCATGAGGGGTGCCAAGGATATCAAATCCCCTAAGGCTGCTAAGGGATTACGATTGACTAGGTATCACGATAATGATAACTTAAAATAGTAATGTTGAGGAGATCTTAGTTAAACTATGGTGAAGGGGGAAGTTCAACATGATAAAGAGGGGAGAATGCATGGTTGCCATTAAATTATTTAGCCTTGGCTTGATGTTGATTTATGATAGGAAAACTCAATTGTTCAATAATGGTATTAATTGTTAGCCAACCTTTTATAAGAGCAGGAGGATTTGTGCATGAAACTATTTTAGTATGTGAACACAATCCTCCAAAACTATGTCTAAGAGGCCTTCAAATAGATTATATCATCCTTGATTAAGAGACTGATTCCCAAATTAATTAGTATTGGTGTGAGAGGCTCTATTGTTATGGGCATTATGATTGCTAGTCATAAGATTAATGCTTGCAGGATAGTGAGATTATTTTCAGGATATCATCAATTTGTTGCATACCATATGTAAGTTTTATAATGATAGAGTGAGCATTTTAGGATTGTGCGTTACATAAGGATACACATACACACATAAAAGAGAAGCTTTTAAAAGCATAGGAGTTTTTATGTAAAAAAAAAAAAATCAGAAGAAAAAAATATATAGACAGACCTAGTTGAAATAATATTCTATATAAACTAAAACATCAAAAATTTGTTATTCCTCCTAATTGAAGAAGATGTAATTATAAAGTAGTGATCAACCTCATATGAGTGTAGTGGGAAGTATTGGACAAGTAGTGAGAGGCAATGCTGATGGTTAGGAGATGGACATTAGTTGTTGATGGGTAACGATAGTTAGGATATGATTGTTGGGCATCAACAAGTGTTGGTGTTTAGTGATAATAGTTAGATGACCATGGATATCTTTTTTTTTGGGAAAAATGGGGGCAAAGCCCATATATTAATCAATGAAAATTACAAAAGCAATTACAAGTAAGTATAGAAAAAAACCTATACCACCCCAAAACCTTAAAACAAAAACAAAAAAGCCAAACAGAAAGGAAAAAGGAACCTCAAAATGGACTCAGGATAGAACTACATCACAAAGCAATAAACCCCAGGCACAGAAAAGCTAAGTCCGACAAAAGCACTGGTTGCCAGCAAGACCATCACAGTGAAAATAATCAGCACACACGAAGACCTGGTTGCCAGAAGACCATCCAAGGTCGCCGGATAGATGTAGTCCATGATCATCATCGTCCCAAAAATCCCATTCTCCATCAAGACAAAAAATTGGTCTTGATCAAAACGAATTTGTCCAGCAAAACCCACGATATCACCACAAGCATCAGCCACAGAGATCAAACAGAAAAACTGGCAGGACAAATTCTCTCGTGGGGATCTCAAAAATGAAAATTGATTACTCCAGCAGCTCCAAAAAGCAAGACGCCAAGCCAAGGGGAAGGCAGCAAAAGGTGCATTAAGCAAAAATCCAGCTGAATAATTCTTTAAGCATCTCATAATCTTTCCACCGTCTAGTCTTAGCACGAATAGCAAAAATAATTTCACTCTTAATACCATCAGAAGAGATGCAGCAATGATTGAACCGACGGTTATTCCTTTCTTTCCAAATGAAATAAACCATAGCAGCCAACATAAGATAACAAAATTGCTTTTCCAGTCTCCCAAAATTCCTCGTATGATCCAAATAATCAAAAACTTGTAGCATATTTGGCCTAAGATAAAAATTTGCAGTATTGGGAAGCAGGCTAGTAAGAATAGAAAAGGAAAAATCACACTCAAAAAAGAGATGAGAGTGATTCTCCTCAAAAGAGCCACAGAAGGAACAATTGCTCATAACCGGAATCCCTCTCTTAATTAGGTTGTCAGCTGTTTTCAACTTCCTTTTAAAAGCCATCCAAGAGAAACAGGAGTACCTCAAAGCATGCCTTTTGTGCCAAACAAACTTATGCCAAATAACATTATCCAAGTGCCCATAAAAAGCATTAAGAACCTTTTTAGAAGGAGGAGACGGGGAGCCCTCCCAAGAGATAACCGGTTTGTCCCCCAAAATATTAATTTCTAAAATTCCAGCTCTAATCACATAAGGAATAGAAAAAGGAAGCTCCCATCTATTCTCAACGATGAAATCATTCACCTTAGAATTTTCAAGTGCAGCCGAATAATACAAGTCAGCAATTGCCTTCCCCTTGCACCAAGGGTCCCAAAGAAAGGAAAGATTGCTCCTGCTATGAACAGAAAGCAAAATGGAGGGTAAAATATTAACTGCCACATTGCAAAAGAGCTTCCAAAATTTAGAAGCAGAGGGAGAAGCCGGTTTCCAAGGTGAAATGTACTTATGTTTATACCAAATACCACTCCAAGAGTTATAATTAATCATCCTGAAAAGAAAGGAAGTTGCCATTTTATGATAAAGGAAGTCAAAAGAAGGAAGGCCTAATCCTCCCTTAATTTTGGGAGTAACCACCGTCTTCCAGGAAATCATATGTAATTTCTTGTCATTGATATTGCCAAAGAAAAGGAATTTGGAGCATAATTTAGAAATTGTTTTTAAGCACCCTTTGGGTATAATAGCCCCCCGGATCCAATATGCGATAGTGTTGGCAATGGTAAACTTTAAATATTGTAATCTACCTGCAAAAGAAAGAAATTTAACTTTCCAACCCGCAAGAAGAGTAGAAATTCTACTCAGGAGGGGTTGGAAGTGAGAAAACTTAAGCCGAGTAGTGGAAATGGGAATGCCCAAATAAGTGATGAAATCTTCCACCCTAGAAATCCCAAGAGTATTAGCAAAGCCAGTATCAGAGTGCAAGTTCCTGGATATAATCAAAGAGCTCTTCAAAGGATTAATATGCAAGCCGGAAGCGTCAGCGAAAGTTTTAAGAATCCCATTAAGAGAAGAGACATTATCCAAGTCAGCCAACCCAAAGACAAGAAGATCATCCGCATACATCAAATGATTAATATTGAGATTCTTAATTCTAATACCCACAAAATCCTCATTCGCATCCAGGCAAGAAGAGAGGGCGTCCATAACAATACAGAAGAGAAGAGGGGAAAGGGGGCAGCCTTGCCTCAAACCAGATTTTGAAGGAAAGAATCCCTCCAAAACCCCGTTAAGACAAACCGAGAAATGAACCTCCCCAATGCAACCATGAATCCATTTGATAAAGACCTCCGGGAAACCCTTTTGCCTCAACCTATTGATCAAAAAGGTGCGAGAAACAGAGTCAAAAGCTTTCTTAATGTCCAACTTGGCACAAAAATACTTATGATTCCCTTTAAACTCCCTCAAGATTTCAGAAGCAAGAATGATGTTGTCCGTGGAGCATCTCTTAGAAATAAAACCAGACTGACTCTCATGAATGATAAAAGGAAGAATCGGTTTTAACCTGTTGGCAAGAATTTTAGCGACGATCTTATAAAAAACATTACATAAAGAGATGGGTCTAAAGTCCGAAATGGCATTGGAGTGAGTCCCCTTAGGAATAAGGGTAATGGCAGTAGCTTTTGAAACTTTGGGCATAACCCCAGTAGTAAAAAAATGTCTAACCGCTCTACAAAGGTGGAAACCAATGATGTGCCAAGTTTTTTGATAGAAACCAAATGAGAAGCCATCTGGACCAGGAGCGGAGGTGGCTTTACCAGCAAAAACAACATTTTTAATTTCTTCATCAGAAACAGGTTGGGTAAGCCCATGAATTAAATCATGAGGAATCTGAGAGCCAGCCATGATATTGAAAGAATTCTCACAAGGGGGACTTCCCATATTGTATAAACCTTTGAAGTGGGATATGAGGGAAGCAGCCAACTCATCATGAGAAGAGATCAAACCAGACGGACCAACCAATTCCTTAATCATGTTACGATTCTTCCTAGCTCTTATCTTAATGTAAAGGAAACCAAGATCATCTTCCCCAAGAGAAAGCCAATAAGCCTTGGCTCTCTGAGCAATCCAAGAATACCAAGCTGATTGAAAGGAAGCTAAATCATCATTAGTTTCTTTGAGAGAGGCATTCAAAGTTGGGTTTAAAGGATCTGATTGGATATCGGATAACAATTGGTATTGCCTGTTTTTAAACTCCAAAATGCCATTAGAAATGAAATTAGAAGAGCTCCACCTCTTACTCTTAACAGCCATCTTAAGACGTTTGAGGCAATCATAGAAGAAAACAATCGGACTAGCATCCACACTTCTATGAAAAACCTCACAAACAATCTCCCAAAATTCATCAAATTCACTCCAATAAGCCTTATACATAAACCTGGTAAATTTTTTCCTTGTCTGAGTAGCAAACAGAATTAGAGGGGAATGGTCAGACCCCAAGTGCTCAGTCACTCTATAGTAAGCAGTAGGAAATAAGTCAAGAAAAGCAGAATTCACCAGCATACGATCCAGTTTAATGTGGATAGGGTTATCAGCTCTTTGGTTAAACCAAGTAAAAAACAACCCCACCGAAGCCAGGTCATGGACCCCAGCCTCAAAAATGAAGTTATTAAGTTCTCCCAACCTATCAGCAGTTAAGAGATTGCCCCCAGCTTTTTCATCTTGCATGAAGTTTACAGCAATTAAAATCTCCCATGAGAACCCATGGAAGATCCATACCAACAGAAAGATTTAACAAATCATCCCATAGAGACCTCCTGTCTCCCAACTCATTAGCAGCATAAACCACAGACAAATAAAAGGGAGGAATAGAACCCGCTTGCACTAAGCCATGAATAACTTGAGAAGAGATGAAGGAAGGATTAAAAGAAAGGTGGGAAAAATCCCACTTAACCCAAATTCTACCGGGGTTAGAACAAGTGAAGTTGTCACAACACATTTCATTGTCAAAAAGGACACGAGAATTATGAAACCAGGGATCTTGATGGACCGAAGGATGAATTTTAGCTTCAAGAATACCCAGAAGCTTGAGATTAAAGGAAGCAATGAAATCTTTACACATCTTGGCCTTGTTAGGGTTGTTAAAACCCCTAACATTCCAAGCAGCCAAAGCGGGTAAAGACATGAATTACTTAGGTTTTTTGGCCTTCTTGGCCGTTTTTGGCTTTTGTTTTTTGGCTGGAGAATTGATAATCTTTGGAGTTTTGGAGGAGGAAGAAGAGGTATTGTGAATAACTTTGGAATTAACAACATCTTCCGAACGGGAGGTGGAAGATAAATCATCATCAGCCGTGTCTTCTTCCGGGATATCAGGCTTGTCCACGGGAAGGGAGGCAAAGCTGTTGGCCAGGACAACTTGGGAGGGACGCAGAAGCAAATTAGATAAGGTTTGCTCCGAAGAAGAGGAGATATTTTGGGGAAGATTGAGATTAGGTAGAGAAGGAGAGTTACTAGGGATGTTCATGTCAGGATCAGTAGAAACTGGGACAGCCGCAGTTTCTAAAAGCTTATCGGAAGGCATGGAAGGTGGGGATAAAAGCGGGGGATTTGAAGAACCAGGCAACTCCGTAGGTGGAGGAAGAGTAACAGCAGGCCGAGAGCTAGATCTCGCATTTCTGGCATTAGGAATCCTGCTTTTGCTCCTACCCCGAAAGGTAGGTTTAGGCGGCAGAGCAGGCTTAGGAGAAGGATTTGAAGGGCATAGTGCAAACGGATGAATAATGGAACCACAGCCCTCACATTTGGATGGTTTCCAGTCATATACCACTTTCAGAACTAAGTCCTCCCCATCAATATCCAGAGGGATTTCATCCGGTAAAACAGAATTTTTATCAACTTGAACGCAAACACGCGCAAAAGTTAACCTGGTTCTTTTAGCCGTTAAAGAATCCACATATAAAGGTATACCTATATAGCTAGCAATCTTAGATATACCTGCTGGGGTCCAAAGAGCAAGAGGCAAGTTGAGAATTTTAATCCACAGAGGAATAACTGCAGATTCATCACGCTTCGGTTGAAATTTCGGTGACCATTTTTGGAGGAAGAAAGGCTTACCCAGCAGAAACCAAAGACCTCCAGACCATATCATGTCAAAGTCTTCAACTGAAGTGAACTTCAACAGGAAAAAGTCATCAGCAAGTGAAAGAAGAGAGAAGGATCCTTTCAGTTTCCATGCTCTGTTCATCGCTTGAAGCAGTCGCTCATAGTAGGGTCTTTGCCCAAGAGAATACCCTACCAGAGAAAGATCCCATAGTCCTTTGCCCTCCGTGAGCTCCGAAGCAGCAAAAGATAACTTTTTGGTCGGGTTGACAAACCCCATAGGCCAATCTTCCCTCGCCGAAGGAGGAGCAGTGAGATTACTAGCATAAGAGATGAAAGGAGTAGGAGGAGGCGCAACACCTAGCAAAGAAGAACTGTCTGGGAGAGGCGGGAAATCCTTAGGATTGGCGCCCATGGCGGCTAGGCGGCCGAAAGAAAAAACACCAAACCCTAAATCCCAGAGCTTCTCACACTAGCTTCTCTCACTACAATTCAGATTCAAATCTCGTCTGGTTGCGATATGTCGACCATGGATATCAACATGATTGGTAGAAGATGATGGTGATTTGTAAATGACAATCAACCAAATAATATTTGGGAAAAGATAGCTAGACAACTGCGATTATTAATGGTGATCACTAACATCGATTATTGTGCAGGGATCTATAATTCTATAAATTTTTAAGCTATTTTTAAATTCAGGTGTCCTTTATGAGAAAAGTGTGGGCCCATTTACAGTTTTTAGAAATTCCTAGGCATTCCATTAGATGATTCATGTTGATTTTTTTTTTTATTGTAAGTTTTTTCAGACATTTAATTAAGTGCCTTAATAATAGCATAATTGAGTTATTTTGGGCTCATTCAATATCTCATGTTGAGGCGCTCATTTAAGTTATAAGCGCACAATGTTAAAAATTATTTTGTCAATCAAATAATGTAATGAAATTTTCAATTATATGTTTATATTGATAATGATTGAATGATTGCATGCATAGTATTTCTATTCCCTTACATTGATTTCATTTATAAGTTCAGGATCTAGTGGAGTGAGTACAGACCTATGATTCAACTTTTATTTTATGTATACATTTTTTTAATTATATTCTTTTGTAATCAAGAGCTAAAAAAAAGACATTGATGAATATATGGATTAAACTCTTCGCTAAGGGATGAATATATTTTTATATCTTGATTGCAATATATAATTTTTATTTTCTTACGCTAGATTGATTTATGTTGATGAATTTATAAAAGGTTTTGTTAATTAATTAAGAGATTAAAATAAACAATTCTTCCAAAATTTAATCTTAAGGTGTTACATGCTATTAGCCTCAAATAGTTCAAATTGTTTAATAATTTTCTCTATCAAATCTCTAGATTTATATGTGATATGAGTATAAATCAGTATGCATAGTAATAAAACTCATAATAGTCAACAGCAAAAGAAAAACAGAGTAAAAATAACTAATTTACACTTTTGATGAAGTTTCATAGAATTCATGATTGAAACTTGATCAGTATTGCTCTAGAAGTTGTTTGAATATTATTCTAATATTGATATAAACTTTTCAGACCTTGATCACAGTATCTTCGACACATGAACGAAGCTTCTTTGCCTATTGTTCTATCCAGATTAGGGTGCAACCGAGTCAAGTCGGCTCGTGAGCCGGCTTGGACTTGACTCGTTAATGGGCTCGACGAGCCGAGCTTATCGAGCTCGCGAGACGCTAAACAAGCTCGAGCTCGGACATTGGCTGGTCGACTCGACGGCTCGTCAAGTAGCTTGCAGGCTTCACGAGAGCGGGAGCGGGTCGGTCTGCGGGAGTTGGACAACGAGCTGGAGCGGGAGCGAGCGTAATTGCGGGAGTGGGCGCGCATGCGGGAGCTGGACAACGAGCAGGAGCGGGTCGCGTATGCGGGAGCGGGTCGCGTATGCAGGAGCGCGATAGCGAGCAGGAGCAGGATTCACGAGAGCGGGAGAGGGATTCACGTACAAGGCAGCCGCTCGACTTGACTCGTTTCGTGAGACGAGTCGAGCTTGAGCTCGATATTTGGCTCTCGAGGTCGACTCGAACACCCCTGGCTCGACTCATTTGCACCCCTAATCCAGACTATCCTTATACTATACTAAAATATAACCAAACTTTGAACAATATTTGATCATGTGATGAACAACTTTTGATTATGGACAAAATAATATTGCTCAAAATAAAATTTGAGCAATATTCAAAGTTGGTAATCTTATATCTATTATCCTTCTAGGTTTATGATTTGTGTAAACATATAATATTGTTGGAGAGAGATATTTTGTCAAATATATAATATCACTAAGCTTCAATAGCGATCACCAATCAGCCAAAGATAGAGATAGAAACATTGCATTAGAAGTATAATGTCCTGAGAATAGTAATGAGTCGATTAATTTATTGCATGAAAATTCAAATAAATTAATAATAACATATCTTTGAATTACGGGATTATTTTGATCCAAATAAAATTTTTAATCATATTTATCTAATAACTTAAATAGTGAATATATTTTTCTATTAATATATATAGGCAAAATAATTGACCTAGGCTTCAATTAGAATGATTTTTTTATTATTTCTTTAAATATTTTTTTAATAAAAAATTAATTTTTATATTAAAAAATGACCTTAATAAGGCCATGTGTTAAAAAACTTTGTAAATATTATGGTAAATTTTTTTAACATATTTAGATGTTGCCAAATGAAATACTTTTATATAAAAATATTTAATTATATTTATAATTTTATATTGTGAGTTTTTGAATAATTTATATTTATAAATTAAATCTAAATATATAATATAAATTAACAATAATTTTATATGAAATTATATGGTTATTATATTTTATTATTTATTAATTTTAATATATTTTTATAATAATATTAATTTTTATTATATCATCTAGTTGAACTTCTATTTGAACCGATCTAACTAAACCGCTCTTCTTCCGAATCTCCGGTCCTATTTTCAGAACTTGATATAACTTATAAGATTCGAAAAAGGTATGCCACCTGAGGATACGGTGTTATTTCGCACAGGAGGCAAACGGCGCCGCGAAGGCGCGAACGCCTCTCTTCCCGCTCAGCGAACACCATTGAAGTTTCTTTCTCTCTCCGACTAGTTTTTGTCCCACTTTCTTCCTTTAGGTGAACAGCGAGAGAGGCGCAGTGCCTCCTCCCTTTCTGCAGGGAGATCTGAGGACCGATTGCCGTTTTGTCCTCGCTAGAAGAAGGAAGCTTCATTTTGCATATTCGTTAACCCTTCTTTGATTGTTATCGTCAGCCAGCAGGTAGCGGTTCTTGCTCTTGATTATGGTTTTCTAGAGAGACGGATCTTCTTTGGGGATTTTTGAAGATTTGCATTATTTTTTTTTCTACCTCTTTGGGTTTAGATATGTTTTTTGTTGTAAAGGGGGAGTGCCGCGACATTTCCTTCAAAAGTTTGGTTTATGAGTGTCTGTTCCTTATGTTCATTACGTTCGGCAATTTCTGGTTTTCTTTAATAGAATAGAGATGAAAAAAAAAAAATTTTTTTTTTGAGAATAACTTTTGTTGCATACGCGAATTAAAATGCATAGACCCAGATTATAGGAAATCTATCATAATAATTACAAATTAAATGATTAGAAAACTGACTAATGGAGCGTATTATTGGCAATTATAGTAATTGATATCACTAATTACAAATCCAAGTAGTTATTGCAAATCACTAAAATCAGAAAACTAAATAAGGGAGCATATTGTTCGCAATGGTAATAATTTACAAATTTGGTATATTATTTATAGCATTAATATGCTTCCTCAAGATGGAATTCATATAATTTGCGAAATATGAGAGATGCAAATAGCACCATTTTGAATTTTGTCTCAACAGAATAAAAGTTGATACGATGTGCTTCATGCCCGTATGGAACACGGGATTAGCACACAAATTTGTTAAATTAACATTGTCATAATAAATGGTTGGTGAAAAAGAATAGTAGCATTTAGTTTTTTGGCAGTAGCGGCAATTGCTATATATTGGACTTTAGTGGAGGCACTCATCATAGATTTTTGTTTATTTGAACTGCAAGAGATTGTGTAAGAGCCAAAGAAAATAATATAAGCTCTAGTGGAAGTACGACCATCAATAGTTCCTGCTTTGTCATTATCAGAACAGACATGCAATGTGAGAGGGGAGACACTTTTGAAAAAAAGTCCATGATGTATTATGCCATGTAAATATCCGAGTTGGTATTTAACCACGGCCCAATGACCAAATTTTTGGCGATGCATAAATTGAGAAAGCCTATTGATGATGAAGGCAACATTGGGATGAGTGAGTGCTATATATTCAAGGCCACCTAAAATAGATTATATTCCATCAAATTTGTGAGATGTACCATCATGCATTGCAAGAGTTTGGTTCAGGGACATTAACATCTTTGGCATTGGTCTTGTCTGCTTTTTGTAGGAGATTATGAATATATTGTTGTTGGGAGAAAAATATACTAATCATGTGTAAAACGTATAGTTTACAAACCCATGATATAGCAAAAATTGGCAAGCTCTTGGAATTATGCTCATGGTGCTTGCTTGAATATAGTGCTTCCTTGAGATGAAAAAACATGATTGGAAATTTTTTTTTGTCAAAAAAACCAGGTCCTCATGAAGAGTGCTATGTAAAAAGATATTATTTGCATCAAGTTAATGAAGGGGACATCCTTGGAGAGGGCAAGGCATAAGATGATGTGATATAGCTCATTTTATGGCTAGAATGAATGTTTGTTAATAATTAATGATCAGGAGTTACTGAAAGCCTTTGACAACAAGACTGGCCTTGTAGTGTTCAAGAGTACTTGTAAGATTGTGCTTGATATGGAAAACACATTTACAACCAACTAAAATTTATGCTGGGTGGGATGAAATAAGTTTGCAACTCTGATTTTGAAGTAAAACACAAACTTGTCTAACATTGTATGTTGTTTGAGGGCTTGTGTGACATAGGTGGGTTTGATGGGGTGAGATAAGAAAGTCATATGAAGAGAGTATTTTGGGTTGGGTTTAAAAATATTGTTTTAGCTCGAGTTTACATGGGATGGTGAGTTGGTCAGTAGGTGATGTGGAACATCTTAGTTATAGCTTACATTAGGAATGGTTTTTTTAGTTTGTTACATGTTTTCTAGAAGGTTCTATGGATAGCTTATAAATATAGCTATCGTAGTAGGGAGGAAGGATATAAAGAATATTAAATCTCTTTAAAGCATTTAAGCTTGTATTGGTTCTCTTGATTTGGATATTTTGTTAGGAAATACTTAAAGATCTCAAGTAAAGCCTAACAATCTTGACAAAAACAGCGAGAACAATCAACCAATCCAAAGGTAAAATCGGAAAACAGGAGTTTTTTATTGGAATAGTCAAACTAACGGAAATAAAATAACAAGACACAATTGATCCTCTATTCGAGAGGAGGATCTATCTCTCTCAAATCTCTAGACGCTGCCAGAGCCCAAAAAACCTAAGAGATCTCAAATTTCAGCCAAATTTAAGATGCCCTAACCATAAGAAAATAAACTATTTAATGCATACAATCCAAAAAGAAATCTCTAAATAGTCCATGCATTCAAATTTCCCTCCTAACTCTCCCAAAAATTCTTCCTAAATAGACCGGTTGGCTCAGGCGTGCATTCGACTTTTACAGGAAAGGTGGAACTTTCGCCTCTGTTTCGCCTGAGCCGGTCCCGTGTGGACCCGTCTAACAATACTCCTCTCCCAAAGTGTCACCTTATCCTCAACATGGAACGAACAAAACTGCTGTTGAAGCACTTGACTAATACCACTGGAATAAAAAATGGATTGACACTAGGTCGATCAATCCCTGCCTCGAGCATCTATTTGATTAATCTCTCAATCTATTCGTTCTAGATTTGGGGCTGACCGTACAGAAGAACATTGATAGGTAGGACTCATTCCTTCTTGATAATAACATACTTGTGTTCCCGCGAAGGATTCAACTCTTGAACTTGCTGGAACACCCTTCGATACTATTGTTGGGGTGGTAGAATCATGTATGATGCTTCTATCTTCTCCCCATCATTTTCTCCTTCCAAATTCTACAACTCCACTGAAAGTCCCACTACTTCACCCTTTTCTCTTCTTGGAAGTGGCTCCAAAAGTGGCATCCCCTCTTCTTCTCCCAACATTTCCACCTCATGATCTTTTCCTATCCTTATCGGATTAGGGCTTCCCCCACTCCCTTGGTCACTGGTGGTTCCCCTTGCCTCTGGCGACGTTGCTTTAGTTTGGAACTCGAGCAGCTTTCTTATCATCTCCTCCATGATATTAAACTTCTCATCGATCTTCTCATGGATTGCTGAAAATAGCTTTTTGAAATATAAAATATTTTCTACACAATCTGATTTCAATTGCCCGATCTCATCTTCCAAGAAAAGTATAAGTATTGGAAGAGGAGATACAAGCGAGAACAATCAACCAATCCAAAGGAAAAAAAAAATAGTAGTTTTTATTGGAATAATCAAACTAAAGGGAAAAAATAGCAAGATACAAGCGATCCTCTATTCGAGAGGAGGATCTATCTCTCCCAAATCTCTTGGGAAGGCCCATACTCCATAAATTTCTCCTAAATAGTGGATATGTCGGGATGCTGCAAAAATTTAGAGTGAAATACACAGAGACTGAACAATGGGGAGTTTGTACTATACAACACAAAGTAGGTACCTTTGGAGACCCATACATGCTTTTCTTAGTGTGTGAGATTGAAGACCATGGCCACGGTGTCTATAAACACCTACCATACACGTTTTTCTTAGCGTAGTGGTGAGACCTAGTTCCCCACATTTATCCTAAATGGGGATATGCCGGGATGTTGGCGAAATTCAGACTAAAACATACAAAACTTGAACAAATATGAAGACCTAGCTTAAGCATAACACAGAGGACCTATACTTGAACATAAATACACAAAGTTTGAACAACTGTTTAGGAAACTGAACCTATACTGAATAAATAGGAGACTTGAATTGAACAATAGGGAACAAAACCCTAAAATGCTAAATTGCATAATAGTAATTAAAATACAAATGTAAAATGATAATTTTGATTATTCAAATAAATATCAAACCATAAACACTCATTGTGAAGAACTTTCAGATGTGATTGACTTGCAAGCAACATAAGTCAACTACAAAATGTATAAGCAATAGTCCTCTTGTATACGCATTATACTTGCATGATAATATGTTGCATATGCATGTGTCATAATTTACAGAATGTATTACATGGGCATGTTATATGACATCGTTGTTGCATATTAAATCACAGAATGTATTACATGGGCATGTTATATGACATCGTTGTTGCATGTTAAATCATCCTCCTGCATAAGTAGAGGGTATTATTCTAGTATGTCATTTGACACTGTAATTGCACTTCAAAATTATCCTCATACATAAGCAAAGGGTTTCACTCTAGTGTGTCATTTAATACTACAATTGTATTAAAAAAAAATCATATTATGTATACATGTGAATGCATCATGTGAAATGCATCCAACGACATATACCCGCGTAAGCCCTGACGAGCGTATTGTAGGTACACACGTAACGTCTGAGAATGCCGCATGGGTTAAGAAATTAATTTAGTTTAGAACCCGATCCTCTGTCAGCGGGTAGATAGAGTCCACAAGGTTCAATCAATAAAATGAAATGTTTATAAACTCCTCAATGATGACTGTGTTGAATGTTTATGTCAACCGGAGGGGATCAAATATTCAAAATGTCCTCAAACTTCTACAAAATGCAAATATTTTCAAATGACCCACTATACCCTGATAATGGCCGTGTTGAATGTTCATCTCAACCGGAGGAGATTATATATGTTCAAAACTCCAAAATACTAGGATTTTTAAAGTTAAAATTAATCATCAACCACTTAAAGGTGCATTTTGTAAAATGTGCCCTTGTCGTTGCCACTAACGTATTGAAGGCATAAATCCTCCAAACTCAAAATTCTGAGAGCCCATCTTCAATTCTTGCAGTGCGACAAACAATCACATATACACGCTTTTGTTAACATGGTGGAAGTTTGTCGCGATGCTTACGACGAAAAAAGTAATCATCAAAAGCCCCATTTCGGCATGTGCGATGTATCAGAAAATCACATATACACGCTTTTATTTTCATGGTGGGAACCCGATACGACTCCTACGGTCAGGCGGGGTTACTTATAAGTACCCTCGAGCAGGGAAAAACCAACAGTCTTGTAAAACATGTACCCTCGAAGACCCCATACATGCCTTTATTGGCGTGGTGGGAATGAAGTTACGGCCGCAATGTCTACGGACACCTACCATAAACATTTTATTAACGCGGTGGGAAGGCCCAGACTCATGTATTTCCCTTAAATGGGGGAGATGCCGGGAAGCTGTTGAAATTTACACTGAACTGGGGACCTGAACAAGACTTGAACAGTAGGGAACTTGAATCCAAATTGAACAAAGAATTTAAATTGAAATCAATTGAATTTAAACCTAAGTAAATGATCATGAACATAATTACATGGAACTTGAACTTGCATGGACTACAAGGACTCGAACTAAAATGAGCTAAGTGCAAGGAGCTTAACTTGGCTTGAACAATTTAAACATATAATTGAACTTGCAGATATAAAGAACTAATCTTCAATATGAGGAATACACACATTAAATACATATACAAATTGATGACTCTAATTATTCAAGTGATGATCAATGGAGGGATGAAGAACTTATGTTAAAGCCTTAATAGATATGAACTGTTGATCTGTTCATAAAATAACAACACAAGCCTCCAATGGGTATGGTGACTACATCAATTAATGATTCATCTCTATCTTCAACAAAGGATTCAATTCCAAGAAAACACATTGATTCCCCATAAGTAGAAGGGATTGATGGACAACAAACATTATGATATTTTGCATTCAATACTGATATATGAGAGGAATCAAACTAGGTACAACAAACAAAAATGTGTACGAGGAATTGCAAGAGATCCATTTCACATTCAACATGTCATTTGCAACCAAAGAAGAATGATATGCAAGTGAACACATCAATTCACTAACCAACATGCACAGAGATATTAGCAATGAATGCACCCTATCCAGCGGTCCAAATTAACATATAAATGTGACACACTTCCTACAAGCAAATACGGGGAGAATTGTAGTAAACACAACTCACCTGCATTCAAACTCTACAAGCAATGAAAATCAAAGGGGATATATAACTTGTTCGCGTTAAAGGGGCAAAGATCTTTAGCAAATATATTTCCTACAAGTGATGACATTTGATGTGTAGCATTCACATCAGTCATGCAAGCGACAAAACCTCTTACATACGTACATGATGCAGCATATGATGAATGCTAACACTTGCTGACAACGACGACGACAATCAACAACATGAACAAATCACATACAGGCTGTTGTAATAAGAGGTGATGAATAGCATAGCACCCTCACATCTGACACCAATCAAACGACACAGCCTCTTGCGGGTGCGTTCAGTGAAGCACACAATGAATGCAAATGCCCGCTAGTGATGACAGGAGATTCTCCACATTCACAATAATATACTTACGAGTGGTGACTAGTAACAAGCAGTGAATGTTGTAATACTCTCATGGTCAACAATTATCCAATGGGAGATAAATACACAGGTTCCTTACAAGCAAAAGGTGAGCGATTAGAAACAAATGCAAGTGCCTATGAGTCCTAGTCGAAGGCTCGTTATACATGCTAAATGTCAAAGAATAATAGCAAATGCAGATGCCTACGAGCTACTGTAAAAAACTTATTGTGCATATAATAGGCTATATGTGAGCAAATACAAGAGAGCTGTAGCGAATGCAACTATCTACCAATAATAGCAGGAGATTCATTAGTGCATTATAATCATCTTGTAGAAAGCAACAAGTAGTGCACGACAGTCTATCTATAAAAAACAGACAAATAATTATAGTTCGACACCACGTCACCGAATCTGCAACACTCGTACGAGCAGACAGAAGGCTTCTACGGACTTCTACATAGAGCATTGGGGCACACCCGGAAGTTGATCATTTGCATAATTGATCAACTCCAAATGTTTCTGAAAATGCCCCCTTGCACGTGCACTGTAATATGTATGCACATAGGTACACAACAATGTATGTGTAACTGTATGCCCGCATGGGCCCCGACAAGCGTGATGTATTCACACACATGACGTCTGGGGATGCCGCACGGGTCAAATAAATTTAAGTTCGAGCCCGATTCTTCTATGCGAGTAGATATGAGTCGACACGGCTCGAACTATTAAATGAATATACGGTCACAACATTAACCAAAATATTTATTTTACAGTTCATGTTAAGCCTTCAAGGCCTATAACAAGGAAAATTTACCGACAAAGACTTGGGGCCTACAAAAACCGATCCTCTGTCGACAAGTTGATATAGTCGACAATGTTCAATCCTTAAATGCAAATGACCCCTTTCTACCCCGATGATGGCCGTGTTGAACGTAGATCTTAACTGAATGGGTTAATTACAAATCTTCAAAATGTCATTCAAATGCCCATGAAAACTCAAAAGTCCAAAAATTCTAAAATTCAAATATTTAAAACTAAAATTAATCATCTAAACATTTAAAGCAAAATTCATCCACCCTCCGCAATCGTTTGACAAGGTTGACAAATTTAAAAATACATTTTAGCTCACAAATAGCTAATGTCTGGTCGAGAATATCACCAGGATTCATTCTTAAGACAGTCTTCTGCCAGTAAGGACGTGGCACGTGTCCTCTAACCTGCAGTTTTGTCGCCAAATAGCACCGCAGGTGAACGGTTATGATTGGGCCCTCTAAATCGTGTGATTTTGCCGTCAAATTACACCATCTAATTATGATTATGGCCAAAGCCCATATGCTCCCCAATGACATCAAATCCTTGAGATATGAATTAATATGATATAATTGATAGGACACAAAGCCCTTTGTTAGCTAAGGTGGATTTAAATTTAATCTCTTAGATAAACATTTCCCCCAGGTCTACAAGGTACTCTTGGATGATGCAACCCATGGCTGCTAACAAGGATCATTCTGTCAGGTTGGGTCGACTACCTCCTCTGACTAAGTAGACCAGGGACCATGATGGCTCGGGACAACGAAACCATGAGATCTTGATCGGGCTCATCATCACTCCCTCCACCACCGCTTTAAATGCTAGATGGTGAAATTTTTTATTTTAAATATCAAATTTCCAACACTTGAAGCCCATGCTGCTACTATATGCCAGATAATGTGTATTATCTATGTATTTGATTGATGACTAGCCTTAATCGAAAGTTTTCTCTCGTTACCGGGAGGGGTAATTAATTATTGGAGCTTGCACTTATAGGTAACCTGAACTCAGATCATAAAGTCTCGCAAAATGAGGGTGAAATTTTTGGGTAGTGTATTATCTACAAACCCAATTTGCCTTCCCAAAATTTACCCCGGAACTTAATCCGTTAAAACTCCCCGAAAAATAACGAGGAGGCCTGGGCTGAATTTTTGGAGCCCACACTCAGATCATAAAGTCCTCGCAAATTGGGGACGAAATTTCTGGGTAGTGTCTTATCTAGAATTCCAATATGCCTTCCTAAAATTTTCTCTGGAATTTAATCCGTGAAAACTCCATAAAATCACAAAGCGAGCACAGGGAGGCCGGGGCGCGAATTTTTAGAGCTCACAATCCTAAAAGCCTAGAAGGTGGGATTCATGCATAAAAGCCATTTTTCTTGAGTGAACAGTTACCTAAATAAACAACATTTTTTGGTAGTGAATTGAATTCTTAGGTATCTGAGAGGTACTGCAAATTAGCTATACTTTTTTGGAAGTTTGATGGAACTATAGGGATATGTTGACATTGATATGATTAGAGATATTGATGGTAGGAAAACACTAATGAGTATGCTTACACCTTGAGTGGCATGATGATCTGTTGGTTTCAAATATACAAAAAAATATTTGCTCTTTCTACTACTTAGGTGAAGTTTTTGCATTGACTGAAGCAAAAAAAGAGATGATTTCGTTGTAATCATTCTTGGAAGAATTGGATCATAAGTTGCAAGATTGGTGGAGGTTACTTTAACACTTTCAAAGATTCTTGAGAACTTGAATTTAGTTGATATTGACAAAGATTGTTCTGATTAAGATTTTGAAGTTGTGTGCAACTTCAGTGGGACTTCTCCACTAGTGGTGAGGAGTCTCTACCGCTATAATATTTGATGATTGATTAATCTTTTAGTAAAAGATTATTAAATTATGAACCCTATTTTTTCTCTTGCAAAAAAAAAAGAGCTACACAGACTCACATAGGTTGACCTTCATAGTAAGATCTTTCTGGGGTTGGAAGGTATATTTGGGAGTTTTTTTATTGATAGCATTTTGACAATTTTATTTTCTTTTTGGCTATCCTAGATTTTCTTTTATAAAGAGGGCAAGTCATGTTTATGTTGTATCAGAGAAATTAAGGAAGTAATTCCCTACAATCAAACTTTAGTGACATATGCAGCAATGGCCACATGATGTTGCCATCATTGGGTAAACTTGTATACATTTTTTGTTTTTCTGTTATGATCTCCTCTTTGTTTATTTTTTGTTCGTATTCACTATCTATGCTCAAATAGGTTTCACTTATTTTCAAATAAGTCTCATCTTGGTCATTAATGAGAGAAATGAGTCGTCACCTCTTTTTCTCTAGCCTTTGGTTCCATGTTTGGTCTCTTGCTCTTCTTTCTTATTTTGAGCTCTCTTGAAAGAGAAGTGAAAGTCTTGGATGGCCGTGGGGGCACATCTATGCCCCCAGTGCGACTATTCTATTTATTATTATCATTTACCTTATCACATCCATTTATATGCCTTTGACCTAATTTTCTTAGAACTCCATATAATTTTTACTTTAAAAAATATAATATATTTTGGAGTTTATAAAAAAAAGGATCATATTTTACCCTATTTTAAAACTAAGACAACCAACCCTAGCATATATATTAAAAAATGCATATATGCTAGGATTTCTTAGTGTATTATTGTTGAAATGATAGAGAGAGAGTTTATCATCTTAATATTATATTACAGTTTATTATGAAACCCTATATATATATATATATATATATGTTATTAATATTTTCTATTTATTTTCTTTTTCAGAAATGGCTGAAACTAAACATCCTTTTGGTGGATTAACAAATGATTTCAAAGGAAGAGCTAGTTGTTATAAGCAAGATTGGCTTGGTGGATTTCGTTCAGGCTTGAGGTATACCTATAGAATGATTCTTGTAATAGCTAGACTAAGTTTCTATCAGTTATTGATTAGCTTCTTTTTTGATGTTAGGATATTGGCTCCGACTATGTTCATCTTTTTTGCTTCGGCCCTTCCTGTTATTGCTTTTGGGGAGCAACTGAGCAGAGATACAGGTAGGTGATATTTGAAATGAAGTGCATGCCTCATCTTTTAGAAGTCATCCTGCTATTTCAAAATAAAAAAAAAGAGAGATGTCATTGGGCTGTTTGCTTGAAAATCTTTTGCTTTTGTTATAGATGGAGAACTAAGCGTTTTTGAGACCCTTGCTTCAACTTCTATTTGTGGCATCGTACACTCAATCTTTGGGGGGCAACCCATGCTGATATTAGGAGTAGCAGAACCCACTGTGATAATGTATTCCTACTTGTACCATTTCGCTAAAGGGCAAGAATTACTTGGAAGCCGTCTGTTTTTGGCCTGGGCTGGCTGGTAATGCACTCACAAGGATTGAGATGTACTTTTTGTATTTGATTACTTTAAGCTTCATAATTGTTCAGCTTACTCATGCAGGGTATGCTTCTGGACAGCGTGTATGCTGTTCTTTCTTGCTATTTTCAATGCATGCAACATCATTACTAGGTTTACAAGAGTTGCAGGCGAACTTTTTGGCATGTTGATAACTGTTCTGTTCTTGCAAGAAGCCATTAAGGTGCATTCAACATTGAATTTAATCTAGGTGCATTAATAGTTAGATACTCTAATGTTGCAATGCTTTGCATTAACTTGAAATATTTCAATCGTAGGGCATAATGAGTGAGTTTACAGCTCCTGTAGGTGAAGATTATAATCAACACAAGTACCAGTTTGAGGGGCTTTACACAAACGGTTTACTGGGTGTTATTTTCTCACTTGGTGTGCTATTCACTTCTCTGAAGAGCAGACGAGCAAGGGCCTGGAGATACGGCACAGGTTTGTTACAGCACTTATTAATGGTGTTCAATTCTATAAAAGAATTTAATGCTACCAATGATGAAGTGACCATTAATGAATGCAGACTGGTTTAGAAGCTTGATAGCAGACTATGGGGTACCTATGATTGTATTGGTATGGACAGCAGTGTCTTATGCTGTTCCAAAAGATGTTGCTTCAGGAGTTCCCCGAAGGCTTTCTATTCCATTTCCTCGGCAGGGTGAATCATTGCATAATTGGTCTGTTGCAAAGGTTTGGCTGAAATTCAAGTTAAAATATATTATATAAGCTATGGAGGTACCAGTTAGCCTAGATTTACATGGTCTTACTTGACATAAGATCTTTTTCCGGCAAAGCCTGATTTAGAGTTCTTCCGGAACTAATTTTAAGGCGATATGTCAACTTTTTATTGGAGCACTTAGTTGAAGAAAAGTTTGAAGTTCTCAGAAATTTTTTAAACAAATATTATATTTTAAGATAGCAGCATTGTCAAATTTCTTGACAAATCTTTTAACTTGAAATTTCTATATGGAATCAACTTTGGAGGTTATTGGAGTCCAAGGTTTAGATGATAGTTTATATAATTATTGGTTCAATAATATAGATTTATTTACATGGGGTAATTTATGTTTAACTATGGGCTCCGAAAATTCATGCTCCGACCTCTTTCTTTCTTTTTTTTGGGTCTTCGAGGAGAGTTTCAATGAGCTTATGTTTCGAGTTAAATTTTTAGAAGGCAGATTGGGTTTTGAATAAGATATTACCCAGAGATTTCCCTCATTTTGCGAGGACTTTATGATTTGAGTTCAGGTTTCCTATAGTTGCAAGACCCTATAGTTAATTATCCCTCCTAGTAATGAGAGAGAACTTTCGATTTAGGATAGTCATCAAACAGATACATAGTATCTGACATATAATAACAACATGTTTAGCCATTTAAAATTATAAATTCACTACCTTGCACTTAAAGCTGATGTTTAGGGGGGGGGGGGTGTTGATGCTAGACCCAATTAAGATCTCATAGTTCCATAATCCCGAGTCATTATGATCCCTAGTCAACTTAGTTAGAGGATGTAGTCAGCCCAACCTGACAGAATAATCCTTGTCAGCAGCCATGAGTTGTTTCATTTAAGGGTATCTTGTAGACTTGGAGTGAATGTTTGTCTTAGAGGACATATTTGAGTCCATATTAGCCAACGAAAGGCTTTGTGCTCTATCAATTATATCTTATTGATTCATTACTCAAGAGTTTAAAGTCGTTGGAGAACATACGGGCTCTGACCATGACCGTAATTTAGTGGTACAATTTAGCGGTAAAATCACTTGGTCAAAGGGCCTCGGTCGTAACCGTTTACCTGTAGCGACATTTGGTGGCAAAATCACCAGTTAGAGGACACGTGTCACGTCCTTACTAACAAGAGATTGGTTGAGAATAAATCATTGTAATATTCTCGACTAAACGTTTGCTCTTTGTGAGCTGAAGTTATTTTTAAATTCATTCACCTCGACTAACTATTGCGGAGGATGAATGGATTTTTCTTTAAGAGTTTAGGTAATTTATTTCAGGTGGATATTTTTAATTTTGGAATTTTATTTTAAACTTGAGCTCTTAACAAAAAACTTTGAGATTTGGGGGGGGGGGTTCTTAAAATTTGTGTGGACCTCTTCGGTTGAGATTTGCATTCAACATGCCCATCATCAAAATTTTGAGTAATTTTATTTTATTATTTGAAACTTGTCAGCTTTGTTTGATTGCCAACAGAGGATCGAGTTCAGCTCCTAACTTTCAAAGTTGTTGTGTACATATCATAACCGAGGATATTCATTTTAATGTGTGAACTTTCTTGTAATAGACTTTGAATGACTAATATGAATGCATAAAATTAAATACCCTAGTTAACTTCAACTAGTGTCGGTTCTAAGAGGTTATGCTTTTAGTTGTAATTTTTTTTTTTTTTGTAATAGATCTTAAAGGCATAACATGAATGTATAAAATTAAATACTCCAGTCAACACTACAATCATGTATTTTTCATACAGTGTATTTGCAAATTTCACGATACATGTACATATATTTGCATGTTGCATGGTGCGTATGCATGTTGAATTTGAACAACACATTTTTATGTCGCTTATCATGTGTATAATGCACTTGCGTTGTATGATGCACTTGCGTTGTATAATGCACTCATCCAGTTAACAATATACATACATGATATCTTTGCATTATTGTTGGTGCATTTGCAAGATGTATTTGTATGATCAATGGTATGCATATATATTATACCACGTGCCTATACGACCGGAGAATTTCATACATGCCATTTAATGTATATATATAGCGTGTTTATATATTTGGTATATGCACATTATACAATAGGGGCTTGTAGGCGACACCCTCTTTCAGTGATTTTGGCGCGTCTCATCCATTTTAATGAAGTGGACGTCCAACCCATGACACATAACAGTGTAATCTTTTGTTTCTTTGCAAAAGCAAATGTTCACAAGGTATACGACACATTCATGACGCGCGTATGAGTCTCCTGACTTCAACAGCTGGCGTGCACGCTATCTAGGGCTACTGTGCACCCACGACTCACTTATCATTTTGTATTTAAATCTTTGCTCAGCGGGTATCACAAGGGGTCAATTTCCTGGGTTATAAATAAGGATTCTGACCCTAGTTCATTCTTTTGCACATTTCAATTTAGAGAGCGTGTTGTTAAGGAGTTTGAGTGTGCACTAACTAGAAGCTAAGAAATAGGAGTTTTAATATGTTTGTTGGTGAGCAACTAGTTTTCCTACAAGTTCTATTTTATTAAGTTTTGATTTTCAGTTCATCTTTTTTTTTTCCAATATTTAGAATCTAGCTTGTCGTGCATTTATATCTTGTTGACTTAAGAATTTTGGTTATATTTTAATTTCCCTAAATTTTACCAGTCATACGATTTGCTGTAAATTTCAGCAGCACCCCAACGTCGTCCCTGCGTAGGGGCTGCATCGGGTATTAAAACCTTATCGCCTGCTAAGAAACGCAGTCATAGATGTCGGGTGACACTGTAGTCAAAATTTTATTCCCTGCTCGCTAATAAAACAATCATGAGTATTTAATTTTTTTTCTTATATAACAAATTTTTTTGCTCGCTGATAAAAGCGATCACGGGTACTTAACTCATGCAAACAAATTTTTATGCTTGCTAATAAAAGCGATCGTGGGTACTTACATTTCATGCCTACGAATTTTTCCTGCTTGCTAATAAAAGCGGTCACGGATACAAATGTTTATGCATACGAATTTCCCTGCTTGCTAGTAAAAGCGGTTATGAGTACTTATCTCATGCAAACGATTTTTTTTCTCGCTAATAAAAGCGGTCATAGTTGCTTATGTTTTCCCGCTCGCTAATAAAAGTGATCACGAGTATTTATATCATATATATATATATATATTATGAATTACTTGTGTAGGGTTTATACTTTAGGTACACGTCAGAAGCGGTGACGACGACGCATGAAACCTACGGTGCATATTGCATTTTTTTTATCATGATTAATACTTATTGCATTCAATTATATGCATATTATATTTATTTTTTTAGTGGGGGCTAGAGAGAGAAAGAGAGTATGCAAGTTCTCTTTCTAAAGCGAGAAAGAGAGGGGATGAGTGGATTTGGTGAAAATGGTGTAAGAAGATTGTATTAGTTAGAAGGGTGATGTTTAGTGGGAGAAAGTTCCCCTCTCCAAATTTAGAGAGAGAAAGAGAGGGCGGAATATTTTTCTCTTTAGGAAGAGAGCAAAGCAAGAATGAGAGTGGGAGGTATAGGAGGTGTTGAATGGAGTGTTTAAAAAGAAATTTCATGAAATTTCTCTTTCTAGAGAGATAAATTTTTCTCTCACTAGGCTAGAGAGAGAAAGAAGACTAGGATGAGGCTTTCTGGTGGATGATGTGTAGTATTTGTAGGGGAATGCTTTTTGTGAAGGGGGGGTGTG